ATTTTCATACGCCCCACCCGAATGCTGAATGAATGTTGTGTTTTATTGTTTTATTTTTATTCACATATTATTTCATGTTCTGTCTTGCACTCCCTCCCACGAATTGTAAGCCGCCCTGAGTCCCCTCAGGGAAAAGGGCGGCCTATAAATGACAATAAAATCTAAATCTAAAGTGCTGGGCTAAGAAATATGTTGGACTGATCCAAGAGAAGATACTCTTTTGGTTAGCTGAGCTTGGTCAACAGTTGTACTGGAGACCCAGAAAGTTCTGAAATCTAGCATTTCTTAATTTGGGTTCCCCACCCAAGGGAAGACTATCCCTCCTGCTTAACACTTAGAAATAGATCCTTCAGGATGTCTTGCCTCCACACTGACTCGGTACTGTCTCCTTCCCTGTAGCGAGCCTCCCCTCACCTATGACGCTACAACAACTCGAAGTACCCATCATTGGTCTGGACACCTGCAGGTGCCTGTACAAAAGGAACCCAGATCCCGAGGAGTCCCACACCCTTCACAATGACATGATGTGTGCCGGCTTTGTAGAAGGCAAGAAGGATGCCTGTCAGGTGAGGCCACTGTGAGGTTAGGGGTGCCATTAATTGGCCAAGTGTGGTGGTAGTGATGGTGGTAGGACACAAGGACCTGAAAGCCATCCTCTGCAGGAGTTCTCAGGCATTTTATGAGGACTGTGCAAGAAAGCATTCCTTTATTAGAAGAGGCTAATAAACCATTGGGTTTTCCAGTGCTTGTGCTCTAAAGCAGTGTTTCTCAACCTTGGCAACTTCAGTCCACCTATCTTAAAATTACCAGGTTTGAAAAGCATACCTATAACCTCTTCCCGTTTCTGACTCCTCTTCATATAATCAGTATGCTTACGGATTCTCAACTTCTTTTTCTTTGCAAACCTTCCCTCCTCTCAAAAATAAATTACCCCATTAAAGGTAAGATAAAGGTAACCCCTTGCACATATGCGGTAGTCGTTCCTGACTCTAGGGGGCGGTATTCGTCTCTGTTTCAAAGCCGAAGAGCCAGTGCTGTCTGAAGATGTCTCCGTGGTCATGTGGCTGCCATGACTTAAATGCCGAAGGCGCATGGAACGCTGTTACCTTCCCATCAAAGGTGGTCCCCATTTTTCTACTTGCATTTTCACATTCTTTCAAACTGCTAGGTTGGCAGAAGCTGGGACAAGTAACGAGCGCTCACTCCGTTATGTGGCGCTAGGGATTCAAACCATTGAACTGCCGACCTTTCTGATCTACAAGCTAGCGCCACTGAGCCACCATGTCCCTCATGACCCCATTAAATGTCTTTAATTCCTTTTGTTATGTTTTTTAGGGTGATTCCGGAGGCCCCCTTTCCTGCCTCGTGGACAACGCCTGGCTCCTGGCTGGCGTCGTGAGCTGGGGATCCAGCTGTGGGGCTGCCAACAGACCCGGCGTTTACATCCGGCTTCCTTTCTATTCCGACTGGATTAAGGAAAAAGTTCCAGAAGTTCAGCTTCAGCAAGTGACAGTCCCTATAAAGTCGGCCCCGGAAGGGCCCCTGTGCTCCAATTCAGGAACGGGAGACCCCTATGATGACATCCAACCCTCACCTGGCTGGAACCGGCCTCTCAAACCAAGCAAGGACTCTCCCAGCAGTTCTGTTTCCCTAGCCTGTGGGGTTGGTCTGCCACTTCTCCTCCTCCTCCTCCAGACCTTCCTGTGGTAACTTTCCACTCCCACCGCTAGATGCGCAGGGAACGTGGTTGTCTTCCTGTTCTTATCCTCCTGGCAATGGTCTCCCTATTTCATAGCCTGCTGTGCTTCAAGCTTTCTCTTTGCACGCTGGACGCAGAGAAGGCAGCATGATTTGATTAGGATGTGGTTCTTTTCCTCCGCCTCTCAGGTGGTCATTGAGTGTGTAAATCTACCTGCGGTCTTGGCCTAGCATATGGCTTTTTAAAAAGTTCACTCACCTCACTCCTATTGATGGCTTTTACTCAGAGGATTTAATTCATAATTTTTTGGGAGTGTCTTATTTTTTTGCCCCTTTCCCATTTCCCCGAGACTTGCTTGGCCTTTAAAAAAAAATCATAGCTGGATACAAATCTGTAATAAACCTGTAATTTTTTTGTTGTTGCTGTGGACATAATTTCATAAGTCAGTGGGAGCCTAGTCTCCTTTTTAGGCAAATTCCTGAACTGCATTTGGATATGACTAACCTCTCTGTTGAGTAGTTGGCGCCCTTCTCCGATTGCATTCCTCCATTGCATTCCTCGCATACGTTTTGAAACGTGATCGGTTTTCAAGGTAGCTTCCTCTCTGTCCAGTCCCTCCTTTCCTGCTCATAATGTGAATTCTCTTGTAGCCTTCCTAACAGTTGCTGTGAAGACAAGGTCCTCCACAATAGTTGGACGTTATTCAAGGACCAAGGTTGAGCCCTTTGAAAGGAATCGGTCAGCTGAATCCTTTTTCTTCCTTGGGATTTGAGTTCGCTGTCTGATGTCTTGCCAGCTGTTTTGCCACCTCTTTCTCATGGTGGTTGCTTAGCTCCAACAACTGCTTCCTATTGGGGCCCCAAGGAGCCCGAGTGGGCAGGCAAGGAGTGGTTGGGAGGGGAGGGGCTGGCAAGGTACCCTTTGACGCAAATGACATTAAGTTGGCCACGCCCACCCAGTCATTAGGCAGATGATAGTGGTCCACGGGACTTAAAATTATGAATTCAGTGGTTCCCTGAGGTCCGAAAGATTGGTGACCCCTATTCTATAGGACCACTTCCTCCCATGTTTGGTTTACTTGACCCTCATTTCTTCTGGGCTCCCTATATGATTTTATTTACCCACACTTCCTTCTGGCTCACAGACTGAATAAAAGGAAGCTCGGCAGACGTCCTGGGGACTTTGAAACCAACTTGTTGCCTTTGAGCTGGGTAATTAGGCTCACCTCTGTGTGCTGCTAGCCTTTGCCTGATTTAAGCTGGAATTTTGAGGGGTGGAAATGCAGCCGCTGGATGTTTCTGTGTAATTTATGAATCCCTCCAAGGTGGGATGAGGGCAGAGATTCTGGGATGTTCTTATGTGTGTGTGGACACCTCAGTTCAGAGGTACTATCAGTTTTTGTTGTGTGTCACCAAATGTCAGCCTGACAGATTTGGAAGAGCACGGACCCCAATGTGAAGGAGATGAAGAGGGCACCTTATTTCCAAGTATGCTTGGACAGAAATAACTGCCAGCATGGACGCAGAATTAAAAGGAGTGGGACTGATAATGATCGAAATTCAATGATGATCGTAATTGCCCTCTTTGGGGGGAAAAGAGGATTGCAACTGTATTTAGATAATTTATGTTTGCCCATACTTTAAAAAAAATAAATCTTAATGTACGGATCATCTTTTAAGGATTGAAATCATTTGCTGTTTTTGAAATGGTTTTAAATAAACAGTAATTCTACACTTATGTGGCTTTATTTATTACCAAAAGGGAAGCCTCATGGACTTTTAATCTCCTAAGAAATGTCAAGGTGTAACTAGGGAAAATTTTTAACAGGTGGCGAAGCAGTTGCTTATTAGATTTAACATCTCCAGGTAGAATTCTCCAGAAGGCATGCAGGAAGTAGATTCCAAAGCACCAGGATCTGCATAGCCTGAAGCCGAGCGTGATGACTCATGCAATTGATCTTGTCACATGAGCTGTGGCATGAATACTTGGCATGAGTTGGTCGAGAGACTGGATTACGATAGGTGTGCAATTCTTAATACAAAACTGTCACCAGACCCGAGCGGATCAAGAAAAACAACCCAGTCATATTTGGCAAGTGAGGTTCACCGAGGTTGAGTGTTAAAACAATTACTGTCTTGGCGTGCTGTGGTTTAGTCAAACCTTATGGAGAGGAGGAAGAGATGCTTTAGTGAACTACCTGTTATGAAAAGGACAGTTTCTGTGACCTAAGCATATCGATACAAATCTGTGTCTTCATTTCCTGCTATTGGTTTGTTCCTCCTTAGAAGAAGGATCTTTTCTCTAGTTTTCCTTTCCCAGGGCTGTTCCTTGTGGTTGGCAGTTTTTTCACTGGGCCACCATTAAGGATCAGCTGTAATTCTTGTAAATGAGTCAGAAAAATGGCACAGCACTGGTGTTATGTTTTTTTTTTATTAAAATATTTCTTAAGCAGAACACCACCGTATATATGGTATACACAATAAAAACTACAGCAACTATGGTGAATAGATGTTTCTATCCAAGACATGCACCACAAGCTTTTCAGGGTCCCTCCCCAAATCATGGTCCCCAGGACTGAAAGTGTGCGAGGACCTCAGCGTAAACCAGCGGTATAAAGAGCGGCAAGTTTTTCCCCTTCGGTTCACTTAATCGCTTTCAAGAGACCTTTGATCTTTTGGAAAAGTCCCTTCTCATTTGATCACCAAGAAACATGGTTCATAAGACAGAAGGGGAAATGTCGAGCAATCCTACAAAATCCTTCTGGACAGTTTTCTCCAATCCGGAGTTTGTCTATTCATCTGGGTAAAAGCTGCTGTTTAAAAGGGCACCTAACTTAAAAGGCGTGTCCCCCCTCCCCCCGCTGTTTAGCATTTTGTTTCTAGAAAGAACCATTTCCTTTAAGGCTCTGCAAAAGGAATTGGTTAATTCCTTTTAGTTATATCATAGAAGCCACACTGCACTGTGGATCAGCCTTTTTATATGTGCCTATTTCCACTTTTCCTCCCCCCCCCAGCCCCACGAGTCTTAACACCCAAATCCTGACTCTCGTGCTACTGGCACTAGACTCTAATACAACTTATTTTTTTGGCAGCATTGAGCTTAAAAATTGACTGTGGAACCAGTGATACCGCTTCAAAACATTCTCTTTTGTCCCACATTGCTAATAGCTATGTAACAGTGGAAGGATTCAAGCTATTTATCTAATATACCTAAAAACATGTATGAGCTTTGATAGACTTGCTTCCTTTTGGAAGATACTGAAAGTGACAACAGATCTACCAAGAGAGACTTAGAGAATTACAGAAGACACATTCCCCCCCCCCCCATTTTTTTGAACAAGGCTGATTGTTCGATGTTTTAGTAAATTTGAGTTCTTCAGCATCTCTTACAGAGAAGTCAATCCTCCTTCCCAGGATAGTCAATAATCTAGTTTTCAGTATTACCGGTAGTAAACGTTGCCTCCAACTTTCGTTGACCATATGCTGCTCAAATATCCAATCCCTGTGTTTATTTACTGCTCAGATCCTGTTCCACCACAATTCTGCCAATATTTAATCACCTGTTTGATTCCGGGACCAGTACTATCCCAATGTCAGTTAGAACAGTCAATAAGAAATAATAGAATGATTTATCTGTTCCTTTTATGATAAGAATGAGGATACCAGTTCTATTTTAGATAAGATATCAGCTTTGGCAAGAAAGAAAAAAACCAGTTATATATCGAACAGCAAAAGAAAAAAAAAAAGGGATAAATAAGTAGTTCTTCATTCAAATGAACCCACCTGGGCAGGATTGCTGCAAACTCAAAAATCACCTGTTTTCAGGTGTTTCTCATAACCCCAAATCACCTGTTCCATGTATGCCCTTCCTGTACAAGACTGACAGCAATGCTAAATTACTCAACATCTTCTAAAATAAAAGAAAGCAGATGTGGAGCCAAACCCTTTCAGCATTTCAAGTCGGTTTTTCCTTCACTTCTTGGAAATCTTGGCTTGCTTATGTTTAGGAGGTGCCCATCTCAGGCAGAGTGAATCCACTGGAGAAAGAGGGGGGGGGTGGGAGGAGAAAAGAAATAAGAAAAGTTAGTAGGTCTGAATGGGTAAGTGGAAAAGGGCAGAGCAGTCAGATAAAGTTCATCCCTATCTCGACTATAATGGGGCATGGATGTCCATGCCTCAACTGAGCCTCAACTGAGAATGCTGATGAAAATTCAATAGGTTAACCAAATCAACTACTAGAGAAATTGCAACAGATATCACACTGAATAAAATTATGCCTTGGGCTGGTGACGGCAAACACAAATGCAGGCTTGCCTTACAACCATTCAGTGACTGTTTGAAGTTACAGCAGCGTTAAAAAAAAAGAAAAGAGCTAGGATCATTTTTCACACTTACGACCGCTGCAGCATCCCCACAGTCCAGTGGTGGGTTGCAGGCGGTATGTCCCGGTACGGGCGTACCGGAGCCAGAGGGCCCACACGCCTGCCCGCGCTCCTTACCAGTGTTTAAAGGCTTCTGCACATGGCGCATACAGCGCCTGTGCGAAAGTCCATGGAACAGCTGGAGCGTCGTGTAGGTGCTAGGATCCATGCATGCACTGTGCATGTGCGCGTGTCCATGAGGACACCACCGGTTGTTCTGGTTGGAACGGGATTTGCAACCCACCACTGCCAGTCGTATGAACAAAATTTGGATGCTTGGCAGCTGACTCATATTTATGATGGTTGCAGTATCCTGGGGTCACGTGACCCCCTTTTGCAACCTTCTGACCAGCAAAGTCAATGGGGAAGACAGATGCACTTAACAACCGTGTTGCTAACTTCACAACTGCAGGGATTCACTTAACAGCTGCGGTAAGAAAGGCTGTAAAATGAAGCTGAAGTCATTTAACTGTCTTGCTTAGCAACAGAAATTTTGGGCTCAACTGCGGTCATAACTTGAGGACTACCTATCAGTGCCATGGAGGATTCATTTTAGATTTGAGAGGCCCTGGGAGGCCACAATGCCAGCGTTTATGCCTTGTTTGTAGCAGCTCCACAGACTTTCTGCCCCGCCCAGCAGGCAGCTCCTGACCCAGCCCCTTTTGAAAAGGAAAGAGATCTGGGAGGGGGTCCAAATAATCTCCCTGAAGCTCCTGTGACATAAATGGCATATTTATGTAACAGGAGCCACGTCATCCGCTCTCTGGGGGGAAAATAACAATGCCTCTTTCAGCAAAAAACTGCAACATCTCATTCCTTTCAAGATGACTCTTAATAGATACCGGGCACAGTTGCCAATAAATTCAAAGCGGGTTGTTTGGCTTAATTGAGGAAACGGCTTTATAATGCAGTGAGAAGTCATTTAAATGTTTATACTCATAATATACAAATATTTCAATTTCTTTGCGTTTTATATTATACCGCTGCTTGTGATGCAAAACAGGAAAGATCCGGTGTGTACAGATTGAAGTGGTATGAAGTGAGCCAAGGTTAGATAAACAACCAGCTATGACTGGAAACTCAAACAAGAAATTGCATACCTTGAGTGCTGAATGATTTATGTCCCACCAAATAATCAAAAAGTTTTTTTTTTTTCTTCTCAGCTACTGTGTTTGTGCTTGGTGCTCTGACACAAAGCTCTGGACTGCCATCTGTCACAAATGGTGTAGGGCCGTGATGGCGAAAAACGGCCCGGAAAACAGCCCGAAAAACCCAGCCTGAAAAACGCCCCCCAAAAACAGGCATGTGCGTGACGGCCAGTTGGTCTTCAGGTTTCCTGTGCTCGCACATGGACGCACATTCTGGTTTGGGCACTTGGTACCAAAAAGGTTCGCCATCACTGGTGTGGGGTCTGCTGTTTGGGTAGGTGGGTGGGGAGGTTGGATTAGAGTTCCAACTCTGTTAATGAAAGGTGCAAGTGGAGACTGGCAACGCTTTCTGCCTAAAAAAAAATCTCACCCTATGAAATGTCCATCATATGAAACATGCTTCAAATAAGAGCTTAGCCTTTTCTCAGCATCTCTTGTGCAGTCCGATATGGTAACCTGAATAAATAATCCTCTCCAGCTATCTTATGGGAGTTAAATATTAACTGCCCCGGTTGGTGCAAGGGAAATGGAAGCAATTGCCTAGGAGACAGTTTGAAGTCCATTCCTCGGAAGGAATCCCAAGAATGTCAGTTTAGTACTGGTATTGAAGGGCACAGCAAAGACTGGAAAGCAGTTCCATGAATCAGGAAAACTAGAAGGACAGGACAAGTTTAGGAGCAACAAGCCTTCAGGGCAGGCAATGGCCTGAGGAGAGTGTTGTGGCCAGCTAGTGGCAGACTCGGACAATGAGGAGGTTGGGGAGGAACATGGGCCAGTCCTGGAGTCTGGAGAAGGCTGTGATGAGGGCTCTCCATCGGAGGCAAAGGTTGGGCCAGGTCATCCGAGAGTTATCAGCTAGTGGGGCTGAAGAACATCTGGAGCCTGTTCCCAATGCGCAGAGCTGTCACGAGAAGGGAACAACAAAGGAACAAGGGCGGACTCTGAAGAAAAGGCGCAAGGGGACGCTGAATGGGCCCTCCCTTAGGGAAGAAACAGGAGTGAAAGGGGAGTGGTGTTTGAAGGAAACAATTAGTTCGTATGGTTAGTGGGAAGATTTGCTTATCTGAAAGACTCCTTGCCAAGTATTTCCTTGTACAGCCTTGCGTCTGGAAGCTATTGGCCTCTCAACTATCCAAGAACTGATAAGGTCTGTGGTTGCAATTTATCCT